ACACCTTTCAGCTAATGTGCCGCAACACAAACACATGAGATACTAAAAATTGTACACTACACGAAAATTCAAAAGCAAGTAACCTAATGTTGTTGCGTATCACATTATGCATCTGGTATGAGATCGTAATTGGTGGGGAGTCTAAAAGTGAGTAGATACACAACGAAACTCACAGCACAAACGCCATTAAGATCGGCTCTTCGCCACATCAATTAGTGTATCCAACCACACTTGCTCATCGTCCTTTGCATCCCAGCCCGGCAGTGGAGGGTCACCAAAGGACGTCCACTTCGAAGTGAGGTTTTTCATTTCTATTGACCAAGTGATCGCCTTGTCTTCTCCTGCATCCAGACCCGGGGCGCACCACATGGAAATCGGTGTGCTGGCATGCGCAACACGTGACTCAGCCATCGGAGCCTGGCGCGTGATTTAATGGTGCTGAGCGATTCACTCGCTCTTCCTGCACCAAATACACCACGCCCAACACGCGGTCCTCTCACCAGATATGAGCTAATCCGCGAAGACACCGACAATCGAATGTAGGTAGTCTCTTTATCTCTGTCGACTTGATGGACCAGGTTTCACAACCGTATATGAGGGTTAAACGGACGGTTGCATTGTAAACTCTGCTATCCAGGGCGAGTGTGATGTCACATCTGCGCCACAGGTGGTGGAGAATGGCTAAAGTACCTCGAGCTTTTGCTGTAGAGTTCGTGATCTCGTACTGGATTCCACTGACGCTAATCTAGCTGCCCAAGTACTTGAATTCCTGTGCGATTTCCAGCTGATTACCACCAGTAGTCAACGCAGGGGTGGATTCTTGCTAATCTTGGAGAACTTTGCATTTTGAGGGGGCAATGGAAAGCTCGAACCGACTGGTAGTCGGTGCTAATTTTGTCCATTGCTTCTGGGCAACTTTGTGAACTATCACACTCCATGTCAAGAGATCACTCACTAGGAAACAGCTCCACACCTTATGCGCCGTGCGCAGCTAATGCTGCGTCCATGATTTCATCGATGGCGAAGTTAGGAAGGGAAGGTAACAACGGGCAACCTATACTCGCACAGCTGGAGATATTGAAGGGCGGCAAAAGTTTACTATTGACCCTGATTATGCACGTATAGCGTCCGGATGATGTTTACCTGTTTAACGTGCACACCTTTCCCCAGCTGGCAGTCCCGAAGAACACACTGATCTACCTAGTCGACGGTCTCTTTGGTGTCAAGAAACACGACTACGGTGAGTCGCCAATAAATATGGCGATGCTCCAACATTTTGCGTTAAGTACTGATGTGGTCGATGCAGCCCCAACCTCAATGAAACTCGGCTTGATTCTCATGAATCTGACTTTCACGTGTGCTAGTCAGTCTATGGAAAACGACAGAGGCCAGCAATTTAGAGCCAGTTGAGATCAGACTGTTTCGTCTATGATTGCCGCATTCCGAACGGAGCCTCCCTTTAAACTTAGGACTATACTAGAGCAGTTGCAGTCTGTTGGGACGATTCCTTGTTACCGCATATTTACTTGTAAATTGTGCACATCATCAACAAGAGCAGGTTTTCCGAATTTGAACAGGGCTGGAGAAATTCTCTCTGTTTCTGCGGCCTCATTCAATTTCAGCCGTCTGATCTCACGTTCGATTTCTGTGCATGAGGGCGGATCAAAGGGGATAACCCAGGAAGAAAGTGTCAGTGCCCGAAAAGGAGAATGATAACTTCGGTTGATTAAATTGCTTTGCAAAATTCTCTTCTTGACGCTACAAGCGCTTTAACAGGATGTGAATCGGCTGTCCACTGTCATGGCGTGTGGTCTGGCTAAAACCAGGTCTCTTGCTGCCCGTTTCCGGTATCAAACGGAATAACTTACTGTGGTTGCCAAGTGCAACGTCTATCTTCAGCGCCGACGCATGACGAAACCACCAAGCTTCACAGTCTCTTTTCAGGCTAGCACGGAGTTTTATCCTGAGACTTTTGCGGGTCTCATTGTATTCGCTTTCAGCCGAAATACGTCGGCAAACTTCGAGAAATTCCAGAAATTGTGTAGACACTCAGTGTCCAGGTTGACACTTTGATTTGCCACATAAAGATATGCCTGCCGATAGTAACGTCTGGCAAATGTGCGACCAGTGATCTTCATTGGTGCTCATTGGATGCTTACTCAGGCTGGATGCCAGCATACTTCGATACACATTCAGAGGACCTGACTTCGCCAGTTTTCTAGGATCTGTGCTCCCATAGCGACGTTGCCGACACTCTCCGAAACGCATCCGAATGGTCGACACACACAAGCGCGTGACCGGAGTCCACTCTCGTGCTCCAAATCGAGTGACAGTTTTAGACGCATCTTCTCCAGCGGTAACTGATAGCGATGTGATCGATTTGCGTCCTTGGCTGTTCCGAGACTTGTGGGCGCCTAGTCACTCTTCTACCAGTGCTGTGTCGAAAGTTAGTGCTTGCGTGAAGTAGACGAGCAAGTTCACACAGGTGTAGCAACCACTCACCGTTAACATTGCATGAATTTACATCAATTATATGGGACAGCCAGATGGAACTCATGGGAAGACAATTTTCCAATTTGATAGTTCAAATCACCAACAAGCATCACAGTATCCATATTTTTTTCTCTTACGTAGGAGATCGTTAAGTTGGTGATACAAATCCTCTTTCACCGAATCTGTGCTACAGTTTGTGGGCGCCTATGCAGCGATGACAAACAGGCACCGTTTGTCCCCGTGCAACTTCGAAGCCTGGAACGAGCCAGCCAATCCGATAGCACACATCCGGCTGTTGACTGGGTTCCAGTCGATCAGGGCAGCTACAGCCCGGGAACTCAAGGCAATGCCCACCTTTGTTTGACGGGCATTTGTAGCCGCATCATCTCCAGACTAGCGCAATGCGCAACTACCGCTTAAGGGGGATCGCAGGTAACAAGGAAGCTTGAATATTGCAGGCGCGTTTCATACAAGCAGCAAATATCGTTTGATAATTTCTGCTGTGTTCTGGCAAGTGCTGCCTATTGACCAAGTTGTAACATGGTGCGCATATTGAGCGATGCCAGTCTTAGTGAGGATCGGGGACTCCAAAGTGAAACGAATGAACTGATGTTTACCGCTTACTTGAACGTGAACTTATTGGCTAGACCAGAACTATGCTCTGCGATTGTGTATGTCCCCTTTTTGGACACTGGTCTATTCTGTCCGATCTCCAACTATATGGGATCACACCTACAGGGAATCATTTGTTGTAGCGATAGACGAAAGGCAGTGTGAGATAATCAGCACATTCTTTTAAAACTACTGTCGAGAGAGCATCCGGACCACTATCTTTTTGACTTTTGAATTTCTTTTGGACATCGTTTTGGTATAAGGGTGCAGCTGGATTTGCAATGATGCCGGAGAGCTAGGGGATCCACGTGAGAAGGAGAAGGAGGAGGTAAAATCAGCATTTTTTCGTCCATCTTTACCTTACCGCCCTGGCCGCAAGCAGGCAGGCACTTTAACTACAGAGCCGCCTCAATAACCTCCACAGATCACGGCAAGTATGTTTACCTAGAACCGTTTCGATGTATAAATTGGATCGCTTCTTTTGTTCGGATTTGATTGCTGAGATTTGGCTCTTCACGCGAGTAACTATCTTGCACTTATAAGACTGTGATTTCACTTTTCGAAGTTGTTTCAGCAGTGGTGATGCGAATCTATCTACCTTAGATAGATCGCTTCAACAGGACTGCGCATGTTAGAGTAATCTTTAATCTAGTATGTAAGATCGTCGCATCAAATCGACAAGTACAGGTCATTGATGGCTATAAGATCAGTTAAGGAAAACATTGATTGGAGCCTTGTGATATTTTCAACGGAGCAGTTTCGCTGTTTGACAGTCTTGAAAAGGCATCCAGTCAGTATGGCAAAATCAGCTTTTCTGTTTATCCTGAGATGCAGAATTTAACTCAAGGATTTGAACTGCTCAGACGAACCGATTTTTGTATGAAAAACAACTACATTTTGTTTGTTTAGACAGCATCCAGCTGAGGGTCTCGCTTGGTCCAAAAGTCACATGTCTATCCAGCCAAGCCTCCTTGGGAATGTTGTATCATTTTCATTAAAGTCGCCAGCAACACTGCAAATGAAACAATCTGGTTTCGACATTAACATCGAAGTAACTTAGTCCTCCGGAAGCTTCATCTCTGACACCAGCGTGTCTGCAGATTGCAAGGTGTTTCCAGCGGTGATCGCTTGAAAGCCACTTAAGAACCTCGGTTTGCATTTAATTAGATGACATTTTATGGAAATTGTCATGTAAATAGTACCATTACCGAACTGCACCAACGTGGGTTAATGTTGAAATAACGCCTCCACACGAAACTAGTACTTTCCAGGATGGTTAAACCTGATGGATAAATGGTCATCGAATTGAATAGATCCATCTTCCACATCAGTATGCAGCCGACTTTCTTGAAATAGTATGACATCTGTATTTACATCGTTTCTTCCCTGCATAAAAGCAATGCGCACACCGATTTTCCCAAGGAGAGCGCACATTACTGGGAAGTACTATTGGGACTTGCACTTTGTCGGTAGCGTAACGACTATATGGCTTACCAGTACCATGCTCTCGCTTGCTTTCAAAATTGTTTCTTCATAGTTTCTTTTAAGGTGTTCTTGATTTTGTGACCTTAACTGATGAAGCAGGAATTTCGGACATTATCACGTAACGTTTTTAAACGGTTGCCGGAGTAAAAGGGCATAGTTGACCTTGATAACAGTTAAGAAAAACGGATCGTTTCAAAGCTTCACAAGATAAGCAAATTCCACAATCTGCAGAGCAACGTGAACGGTAACGTTGGAGTTTAAAGCTTTTTCCATTTTGAAACGTTTTTGTGGTTGTCTTATTGTTCCGGTTGTTGCAGATGAAACTTTCGATTCCATCTTCCTAGTTCATTACTCATTCCTTTCTCTCACAATTTGCACCTATTCTAAATTTTTGTTCTTAATTCTCACAGTACGATGTGACAGATATAAATATTTGTAGCCGCGATGGAGACACTCCACTGCTCACTGCTGTCAAGGACCGGCGCGATTCAGTGGTACTCGCGTTGTTACGCTCGGACCAACAGTATCGCGAACAGCGATTGTGTGCTAAGTCGGACACATTGCAACCGCCTCAATCAAGTGAACCGAAGCAGCTGAATTGTCAGGCTTCCGAAACTCCCCATCGCACCGTTCGGACGGGATCCTCCAAGTCTTCGAATTCCGCGCCATCGCGAACCACTCTCGCCTGGACTAACAGTGTCATGTTTCGCACACCTGCCATCAGTAGCTGCAGTGTCAAGCGCGCTTCTTCCGCTGCATCGGTGAACTTGCGTTCGATCGGTCGTAAGTCCAACCTCATACTCTCACGAGATCAGCGATCTCAACTTTTTTGCACCCAACGCCACAAACTGCAAGACAATCCACGCGGATCACCTCTTCACCAGATCTTAGGCGGCGCCATTGATCTAGAGGGACTATCGAATAATCGTTCGCGGTTCACTCTTTTGAATGCTAAGCGATTCCGAATGCGATCGGCGGACGGCGCCGAATTCACCGTTTCTCCGACGGCGCCTTCCAGCTGCAATGGAGGCTCACACTTATATGGCACTTCTCTCAACCCAGATAACTGTCAGAGATGTCATAGTTTTGGAAATCCAAGCGGTACGTCTTCGGACTGGTATTATGTAGTGAGCGTGCAGTGCAGTCCTTTTGTCTTGCTTCGACCTTTGCATTCTACCTATGGCATGAGGTTGCAATGCATAATCGTATTGCATTTCACCACTGCTCTTAGGTCTTTTTTCGCATGTTCAGGCTTACTCGTTCATTGCTAGTAATCTTTACGTCGGATTGTCGGGTGTGCAGTTACCGTATGCAATTTTGATGATGGTGTTGACTTGTTTAAACTCGAAACCTGAATTTCTACTTATTATTATTCCAAATACTTGCGCCGATCTTGTTCGTTTGTGCATTCTCTTCAGTCACATACATGCTGCCAGTAGCGGATTCGGACACATGATCACTTGAAGTGAATTGTTTGTCAACGTCTGACCGATTGGTGAGCTTAACGTCACAACGGTAGGATTAGCCTCACTTTCAGCTTCTTTCGTGAAAATGAATGGGCGACCGCTCTCGATCAATGACAGCGGCTTTAATGAGCTGGGGAATCTGAGGCCATTGATTGTGTAGGAGCACTGTGAATGGCCCATCTGAGTTGGTTCGATGACCAGTGTTCAACAAATGCTTCAGGACCACTGAGGTAACTTAGTTCCTCGAATCAGCTGATTAGTCCTTCATATCTGTTTGCAAAGCCATTTCGGTTGCGTCACTTTCTTCCGGTGTACGTGTGTTGATTTCCAATCCTACACCTGCATCACATTACATTCTCATTGTACACGTTAGCTACAGGTGGAAAACACCTCAGCCATTGTGCCGCAATACAAAAGACAAGAAAAGGAAAACAAACAGTGGCACGCCGGCTGAGTCCCCAGTAACGGATGGACATCGTTCCGTAGAACTAACAGCTGGCTATCGTGCCGTAAAAAGAGTTATACTATGCCTAACGGGTGAGATCCTGATTGGAGGGGGTTGGACAAAGGAACTCACAACACAAACGCCATTGGGGCCGGCTCCAAGTCATATCATCAAGTGTGTCCAACCAAACGTGTTCACCGTCCTTAGGACCCCAGCTAGGCAATCGGGATGCACCAACCGACGTCAACTTCGAAGTGAGGGTTTTCATCTCTCTCGACCAAGTCATTGCTTGGCCTCCCCTCCTCTTCCAACCGCACCCTCAACGCGCAAACAATGTACGTCGCGGAAGTGGGTGTGCTGGCATGCACAACACGTGGCCCAACCATCGGAGCCTGGTGAGTGATATAATAGTGCTGAGCGGTTCACTCGCTCTTTCTGCAACAAATACGCGACGCCGAACACGCTCATTGCTCACGCGGTGCTCCCACCGGACATGAGCTAAGCTGCGAAGGCAGCGATGATCGCATATGACGAGCCTCTTTATGTCTGTCGACCTGATGGGCTAGGTTTCACAACCATATAGGAGAGTTGAACGGACGGCTGCGTTGTAAACTCTGCCCTTCATGGCGAGAGTCATATCGCGTCTGCGCCACAGGTGGCGGAGATTGGCAAAAGCACCTCGAGCTTTTGCTGTACGGTTCGTAACCCCATCTTCAATCCCACGAGTGCTAATATAGCTGCCCAGGTACTTGAATTCCTGAACGACTTCTAACGGATCACCACCAAGCTTTAACGCATGGTTGGGTCCCTGCCAATCTTGGAGAAATACTTTACACTTTACACCTGACTACGGCTTAATTCACAAAATGTCGTTCTTGGCTGATCACCCGGCAAAAGAGCACAAAGAACTAAACCAGGAAATTTAGCCTGTCGCTTATCTGCGGTCTCTTTTACCGGTACCTCAAGATGATCGCAATGCTGCAATGCACTTTTTAATGGTTCGGGGCGCATTCCGAAGACGGGTGCCACCCCAGATTGTTTTTCACGAACTATTCATATGATTTCACAATTGTTCGCCAACAGGTCCCTTTTGCCTTAACTTATCCACACATACTAGTTTTCCACACGGTGAGACCTCTATCTTGGCATCATGAGGCTCCACAAATTAGATCCCCCTACGATACCACTACCACTACGATCAAGTTGAATAGAACAAGGGAAATGGACAGCCATGGTGAACCTCTCTGGTTTCCCACCTAGTGCCCGATACTTAACAGATATCAAGAATCCACCTACTATCAGTACTATGAACATTCGCCCTTACAATCTTCAATTGCTATGCGGACATGGCTGCTGTGTAGAGAAGTCGTAACATTGGAGACCAACCACTATCTTCTGCAATGATAGAAACATGCATACCATATCCCAGTTAGCTTGCAAGTTAAATAAATAGATGGTATCTTCCTCTGTGATTCGAGGTGGTCTGATCAATGTGTACAACAGCATCGCAAAAAATAATCAATTTGTTCACGCTTTTTACGATGGATCCAAAACTGGTATTAAAGTAATTGGCAGGATTAAGATATTAAAGAAATTAACAGACCAGCAACAATAAGATGTGCAGATGTCCAGTTAAAGTAATACGGCCACTCGTGGAGCCGTTCCCAGGGGATCTGCTTCCATGCAAGGTATTCCCTCGAAAGGTTTCACCTGCACTTCCATGCTATACCTGGCCGCGTGCCGGTGTGGCATGGTACCATATGAGCTATCACATTTTTATCATATGTTGCGTTCTTTTTTAGGGCTGCTTTTATACATATATTATAAGCGATGAAGCCTCAGCCCAGTCCGTCATGCGGACCATTCAATTATGGCACTTTTGTATACACCAGTCCATTTGTGGCAATGTGCCTTGCTAGGTAAATTCTTTTATAATCTTGAAACTATAATCCGTCACCACAGGAGATCAGCCCAGTCGCGGCCAACAATGAAATAAGGAAGAATGTAGAAAAGAAGAATTATGTGAAAGAGGTATTATATCGTTACTGTAAAAAATAGGCAGGTATGTTTTTTACATCAGCGTAAAACTGGATCGAGCCGATCATACGATCAAATTGTGTGGCGTGACAGCCGGAGACAGTAACTGTACGGGTTGTCCATAGGCAAAAGTCACATAGGGAATGCGTTATTGCGATCACTGAATTCCAGTATATGTTTCTGGACTGTTAACTCCAGAAAAGAAGGGGAAATGATTAGCACTGCAGAACAAATGTAGCAAAGCGGATCGCAGAGCAATATTACCTATTAATCAGTTTGTGGGGGAAATTACGAAAATACTTCCTGACACCACACCAGTAAATAATTTTGCTCTCAGTTTTAAACAGAAGACAGTTGGTATAAATTAAGTTTGAAAGAAGTAAAACAGCATAGGAGGTAGCATTAAAGAATCGCATAAGAAGCGGTTTGTAGTAGCTCATCCTAGGTGATCATGTTTAGTGCATTCGAGTTCAGATGGTCTACTTCCGTCCTCCATCACCCAGTGAAATAAGCTGCTGGGTGGTTGGTGTAAGCTGCTCACAGTCATGGGTTCAATCCCCAGCAGAGTACCGAGAGAATGCGCGCTACTGACGAGCGGAACGATCGTCTTGTGCCTTTCCGGATTGGGATTATACTGTGGTGGATTATAGGTAGATACTACTGCGCCGGGTATAAGTAGTGTGGTGGTGCAAGATGATACACCAACAGCGAGCCCTGCCGACTTCCCCAAAGTTGAAGATGACATCAGGATTACAGTTCTATGCGCACGAGAAGTGAACACAGAGGCAAGCACCAGTTAGGGAACACTCCATGGAGATCACGCAGATGAGCGGACGCCTCCAAGGTATGGACGAACACACCTAGTGTAAGCCACTTTAGCAATAAACAATTACCGCGTGCCCCTTGGGTTCTAACAATACTAATCTGACTTGTGAACAGTTGGGATGAACAAGTAAACTCGTCACTGGTTCACCAAGTACAACGCACTTTAAAATGTTCTTTTATGTCTTGGCAACTTTTAAGAAACCATCATCGTGTTCGAACTTGCGTTTGAACTTGGGGTGAATGTTGCATTGGTTTGGCGCCTACCGCATAGTGAATATATGTTTCGACCATAGATTCGCACTGTGTATGCGTCCCTTCGGTAACCACGTACTCACCTACTGCGCACGCCACTCACCTAACATCGTTGTTTGTTTGTTTTTTACTTTCCCATTTAGCGCACGAATTTTATCACCATTATCTTTTTGTCCTCCTAGTTCATCCTTTAAGACAACTTTTGAACTTACTTACTTACTTACTTCGTTTTTTTTCCAAACAGATGTGAGTGGTTGGTGGCAAAGCTGTGACCGTTTGCAACGTCTACTGTCCAAAGCGGCTCCATCCATTCAAGGTGTCAGTCTGCCCCGCCCCTCTCCTCGACATTCGCAAGTTGTCGCCGCTGACACAGTCCCTATTCCTTTGAGGCCATTTTTGGACCTGAATCGACCAGACAAGATTGGTGAGTCGTTGTACTCTGCCCTGTTATCTTCTTGCTGACGTTACTTGATCTCAATGTTACCCATAACACACCTCTCTTGTCAGCATGGCTAAATGCGTCGTATTCAGTATGCGCCATACGTTAATAGATTCTCACAAAAATTGGCTACTTGAACCCGCACAGGGAGCCGTAGTTGCTTTCCACTTCACGAACGCACGCACGCATACACACACACACACACACATACTCGATAGACATGCACAAAGAGACCACAGTTGTTCCGCGGTCTGCCTATGTCCGCAATTCTTCCAACCCCCGCCCCCGTTTGGAGTGAATTTGTATAACACTACTCGTTTACTACAGCTTCCAAATTCTTTTGGTACAGCGTGCTCTATGTCAACTGTTTATGACATACCGGCTTTCGTCTGCTTGTTGAATTTGACAACTGACAAACGTTATTGCATCGAATGCAGGCTCGCTGATTTAATCGCCCACCTCAGATTAAGGAGGTGCAAGGGTAATTACTTCATTGCTGTGGGCTCCGAATGCGAACGAATCTCCGGGCTAAGAATGATGTATGCGGTACTAAATACTAAGCCAGCGACACAGTCCTCATCATTGTACAGATTAACTTGAGGTGGAAAACACCTCAGCTAATGTGCCGCAATACATAAAAGAAATAGAACAACATGCAGCGGATGCATGCCAGCTGAGCTACCGGTAACGGTTAGCCTGGTGACAGAGGTGCGACGTACCAAACCCTGCTCGCATTTGATGCACAATCATTGATTCTATTACCGAATCCTCTACAAATGACAGAAAGCACATTACCGGATAGCTGAACCGCGTGGAAAGCGAATTTCGCTACACTGATCGCGTTAGATGAATATCCGAGATCATATCAACTAGCGATGATCAGGTACTGCATCGGGGAAGATGCGAGAGGGATATTAGAAGTCTGAAACTTCTACGATTATGGCCAAGAACCGGATCTTTCAGAAATAATCGAGAGATTTGGTGATTTTTTAAAAACTGATCAAACCTTTTGGCTCGCTACTGCCGATCGTCTAACGTTAGCTCACTTAAGCTTGAAATTCGGCAAATCAAGCAAGAGATTTAAATAAATAACAGGCGGGATCGCGTAGTGCTTGAAAGGATTATTGCGACACCGTCAATACAAGAACGATCAGTACAGTTCAGAGTTAATTCGATAGCCACCGTGAGTACACTGTTCGAGATAGACTGTACCGGAGTGCGGTTCAGTGAAACGCGGTGTTTCCACGAAGGGTGGAACAACTTGATAATACATCCGGAAGCAAAGGTTGTGGCGAACATTTTCAAGAAGGCAAAGAATCGGCTTATCAAACTCTGACAGACGCATGCGGATCCTTATGTAATGCTACTTGGCAAAAGTACCCCTGGAAAATTCGGCAGCAATCCGGTGCAGCTTCTATTCAAGCACAAACCACACCGAAAGCTCGCCGGCAGTGGAACAGGCTACGGAAACTGAAACACACGAATTACGAAAAAAAAGAAAAAAGGAAGCATGTGGTGGTAACATGCCCCACTTAGATGCCAGGTGTTTAGCCATCGATCGACCTAAACGGTTTTGGGCCAACGCTCTGAAAAATGGTCGATCGCTACAAGAGGCGAACTGAAGGATGGTACGCAGTCGATTTAGATCGACGTGAACGAAGCTCTAGCGCTGGCCGAAAATGAAATAGCAAGAATATGTGTTCTATATTTGTGAGTGGTTCTACTTGACGCGAGATATAATATGAGGTTGTGTTCTATGTGTGCGTTCTATTACTGATCTATTTCTGATCGAGGCCCAGACTTCCCATGGAATAGAACAAGCCTACGAGTAATGTATTTTTTGACCATGTTGGTACCACATATATGGAACAGACTGCACATGGAACAACGTCTTGTGGTCAGGTTTATTTATCACTTCTAGACAGTTTTGCAAGCTGTACAACAGTTCAATCCAGACATGGATGTGACTGTCTTTTATCGTCGTCCAGTCCAATTGCCTACTCGAAGCGCGTGTACTTGAGATGCATAATTGTGATACCAATCTGCTTGTGAAATATGTCAGACATTGCCGCATGCCCCCGCCACAAGACCGCCAACGAAATCACATCGCACGCCGACTAACCGATTGGGGCCACACGAAGTTCATCTGGGGGGTGGGAAGGTACATTGATTTTTCCTTTGAGAACTTAATTAATTATTTGAATCGCTTATTCATTTGTTCTCCGAGCTTGGCGGTTCTGTGGCAAACCTTTCACCACAATGCGAGGTGGCATCCTCAGTGCAGTGAGATGCGGCGTGCAATCTTACTGAATGAATCGTCTATCCGTGATCGCGACCTACAGGTGACTTTTGAAAGTGGCAGTCTCGGCTTTCGTCTTGTGACCTCTCTCCACTTTCCCCAAGACTAAACTCCGCGCCCGAGTTAAACCGCGTGACAAAATCTTCCCTATTTCTTTCTGTCGAAGTGCTTCGTACATTGAATCGATGTCGACGTGCATATTGATCGAGTTTCTCGTTGAGAATCAGGTTTCTCACTATTCATCCGTAACTGCTTAGTCAACACAAACACTTTGTATGTGTTTATTGAAAATCATCACAGAGTAGAAAATTTTACTTTGACAACATAGTTAGTTATTTGGATCGCTTCATTCTTTCCCCTTGACATCACGACTGTCATTCCATAGTCGTTAATTGCTTTTTAGTCTATAGTTCTGTGATATTGAAACACCAACACAATACTGCGTTACCGCGTTTGTCGTTGTTATTGATGGCGAGGAAGCTGGAGGATAATAACAGCACTACTTACAACAAACTGGCTGACTAAAATAATAATGATGCCGTGGTAATGCGATTATTTATAATACATGTTGCGAGTGATGTTCTCTGTAGCAATAAGAGCAACTCACAACATGACACTGGGTACCATAGAGCATTGAACCTGTTCTCTATCCACTGCCGGCCTGTAGCCTTAGGGATCACAGTCCACCTTGTAATCTGAGGGTGCTGGTTCGAGCCTACGTAGGGAACCGAGCCACTCTCGCAGTATCCTCAACCCCCGCGTGACTGTTGGTGGTTACGCGGCAGCGAAGCCTCGGTACTGTGTACCGGCGTGTTGTTGATACCGCTGTATCCACTGTCCGAGCAGATAGCCTTCTTGTAGATGAATTCTTGTTCTACAACGCACATAACATACTAGATATGGCTCACAATTAGGGTTGTAACTCGCGGCGTCATAGTAAATCTATTGTCCAGCTAAGTAAACTGAAACATGAAAGATAGGCTGATACACATTATGTCTTCGAATCGTTTAAGTGTCTGTGAATGTGGCGTTTTCCAGTACACGTAATCGTATTGGCAAGTGTTAATGCTGGAACTATTGATAGTAATGACGCCGGTTAGCCTGCAGTAGTGATGAGAGACATCAGCTGCACTCTGATGCATCATCTTCGCTGCCACCCACGACCATCACCAGTCTCGTGAATGCCGGGGATACCTCTAGAAGTCCGTCGCACTCCTACGCAGGCGAGAACCGATGACCGTCCGATCACATGTCAGACACCTTAACTACTCGGTCAGCAGCCACCTTGCAACAGTACTGATAACCACGGATCATTGTTTTCGTATAGACTGCATCGGGGTAGTTCCCTATCTTACCGCGAGTTTTAGCTCTAACACAGGCTCTGTTGAGAGCAGAAAGAATGTTTTGGGAGCACTGCACGCTGTTATTATGGCTCTGTTGTTCCTGTCAGAACTGAAACTACTGACACTGCGTAGCATCACATGAGCCACAAAAGCACATGACAGTGATTCCTTAACTTGTTGTTAGTGGGCATAGACAAAGGCCATTGACATGCCTCATAAGTTGTATAGTTGTGCCCAAATGAACACTGACTTCTGAAATTGAGAAACCCACAACTCCCATGCCCCGTAGAATCAGTGAATTTATACTTCATTGCGTTGCGGTTGTGCAGAGCGATCGAGGCTTTGCCGCTTGTCTTATACACTCTTCGTATCTTTGAACGAGCATTCTTCGCTTGCACATGCTTATCTGTTGTTCCAAATAAGAAGATCAGAAGACCTAGCTTGTGAGATGGCGTCACCAGTTCTTACATTCTTATCCATCGCAAACATGCAACCGTGTTAGGTAATCATACGCAATGTCATGCGAGATTGTAGTTGGCCGAGCGTTTGTGCTGCCAGGTTAGGCTTAGAGTCAGTTAGCTTGAGTACACGGTACTGATCGTTCACAATCGATAGCGTTGACCACCAGCAACCTCGGTATATGGGGCCGCTGACGGCGCATTAACACGATGAACGACTCATCCTGATTGACTCGGTAGCCGGTAGTCAGCAAGTACTTTGGGACTGCCGCGGTAGCTTGGTTTCCGATTCAACTTTCTGCATTCGTCACTTGTTTCCATGGTGTGCTGCTGTCAACGCTGTCGCCCACACAACGGTTTTATGCAAATGACTCATATATAAAAGCATTATTCTCTCGACGCTGAACTTTACCTCTTGCAATCGAGTCCCAGTCCCACATCTCCGGCTACACATTGGTACGACGCATTGCGAACAGACAATTGAAATTTATCTGCTTCAGCCACGGTCCCAGTGACCACAGTGAACTGACTGACATTCACCTCGAAACGAATCGTGGTCCCATCCGAGACTGCATGTCGCGATCCATTCATCTGCTAACTCTCTCAGCCTAAACAACAACAGATTCATCTGCATTTCCCACACTCCACTTCTCGCCCTTCGGCGTCCGTCCAACTCCATATCTCGTCCTCTGTTCGAAATTTGTCATTTTGTTCCTACTTCACACACACACAAACACACACTATACACGTTAGCTAGAGGTGAGAAACACCTCAGCTACTGTGCTGCAATACCGAAAAGAAAAAAGGGAATAAAGTGCAATAGGTGCAAGCCAGCTGAGCTACGCTAACGGATGAGTATCGTTCCGGTATGCTACCTGCCGGCTA